GATGAGCACTTGGCTTCTAACTTCTGAAAGTGGACATTTGCACCGACAACCTTCATTTTCTCAGAAATTTGGGTGAAAATTTGAGAAATAAAGGCTTAGGGTTCTTGCAGGTTTTTGAGAATTTTTCGCGAAGAAGATGACGAAGAATTTTTGAGTGGGCGGTTGAGATCTGAATAGTGGCGATTGGGTTTTAATGTGGGCAATTTATGCGGCTAGTGGCGATACTGTTCCCAAGGCCACGTTCCCACCCATCATTTTGACAGACGTGGAAAGTGAACTGCCACGTGCACTACATTCAGTCTAATTGAATTAGACCAATTTTGTGAAGCAAATTGGAAAACTTGGCTTCACTTAGTGGTTTGGTGAAGATATCCGCCAGTTGTTCTTCAGTTGAGATATACTCAATTTTGATATCTTTCTTTTCCACATGTTCTCTGATGAAGTGATGCTTGACATCAATGTGCTTAGTGCGAGAATGATGCACTGGGTTTTGAGAGATGGCTATGGCACTTTGATTTTCACAAAAGATTGTCACTTCCTTTGTTTTGACTCCATAGTCCAGTAGTTGTTGCTTTAGCCACAAAACTTGAGCACAACAACTACCAGCTGCAATGTACTCTGCTTCTGCTGTAGATGTGGAAATGGAGTTTTGTTTCTTACTGAACCAAGAAACAAGATTTTCACCAATGAATTGACAAGTACCAGATGTACTTTTCCGGTCAACTTTGCATCCGGCAAAGTCAGAATCTGAGTATCCCACTAACTCAAATGAATTGCTCTTACCATACCACAAACCCATGTTCTGAGTTCCTTTGAGGTATCTAAGAATCCTTTTAGCTGCTATCAGATGGCTTTCCTTTGGCTTTGACTGGAATCTGGCACAAACACCTACTGCATATGAGATATCCGGACGGCTTGCAGTAAGGTAAAGTAGAGATCTGACAATCCCTCTGTAGAGAGTTTGATCTACATCCTTTCCATCTGCATCCATATCAAGCTTGGTGGAAGTGCTCATGGGGACAGAAACGGATGACTTTTGATCAACTTTGAACTTCTTGATAAGATCCCTTGTATATTTAGCTTGATTGATGAGAGTGCCTTCACTTCTCTGTTTGATTTAAAGGCCAAGGAAGTAGTTGAGTTCCCCCATCATGCTCATTTCAAATTTTCCTTGCATGAGGGTTGAAAACTTGGTGCATAGATCTTTCTTTGTTGAGCCAAATATGATATCGTCCACATAGATCTGAACTAATAGGAGATCTTCTCCATCTTGTAGCTTGAATAATGTCTTGTCAATTACTCCTTTGGTAAATCCATTGTCTATAAGAAATTGAGACAATGTATCATATCAAGCTCTTGGTGCTTGTTTGAGTCCATATAGCGCCTTCTTGAGTCTATACACCTGATCTCCCTTAGTGCGTAACTCAAATCCTGGAGGCTGTTCTACATACACTTCTTCCTCTAGTTTTCCGTTGAGAAATGCGCTTTTGACATCCATTTGATAGACTTTGAAGTCCTTGTGAGTAGCAAAGGCTAGAAACAGCCTTATAGCTTCAAGTCTAGCAACTGGAGCGAAGGTTTCATCAAAATCTACACCTTCTTCTTGACAATATCGTTTTGCAACTAACCGGGCTTTGTTTCTGACAACAATGCCGTTTTCATCCATCTTGTTCCGGAAGACCCACTTTGTAACGCCCTGAAAACCGGTCTAGAAATTTTAACTTTCTAGTACAAAGAAATTAAAAAAATATATAAAATAAAAATGTACGAAAAATATTAATAATAATAATAAAATTTAAATTTAAAAAAAAATGTTACTATTGTTTATTTAGAAACAATCGAGGATTTAATTTAAACAATTAAGTACTAGTAGAGATGGAAAAAAAATAGAATAAAGTGAAAGGGAATAAAAAGAATAGTTTGGTTCTCTACTATGTAAATAATATAGTTTGTTCAAGTGAACCTATTTTCTTGACAAACAAATTATGCTAAAGTGATGTGTCAAAAATATGGAATCCAACGGTATAAATTTTATTTTTTTCAAAAAAATTGGAAAATTGAAACTTGGAAAATCGGACACGTAGTACTAAACCAACAGAGCAGGAAAAAAAACCTTTTGTTTTCCCTCCATTTCTCACGCCACAATGGATTGTAACCTCTCTTCCATCATTCATTTCACCTCATTAAGAGGATTAATAATTTGCTTTTAATAATTTAATTAAAAAAAATATTTAAATAATATTTTATTTATTTAACAACCATCCATCTTCCCATCACTTTCTAGCACCTTCTCCCCACCCTATAAATAGGGTTCCTTAGGAAGGGAGAACACAGAATCATTTTGGAAAAAATATATAATCATAGCTAAGTAGAGGGAGAGGGAGTGAGCTAGTAGGAGCGGGGTTGTGGTGTTGCTCGAAAGGAAGAAAGAGATATGCGGGGGACGCATCACGGAATTATCCCGCCAAGATTTGTCCAACTATTGTTTTGTCAAAACCGACACTTAAGGTGTGCCGTTGACCCTAACCTTTATATATATATTTCATGTTAATATTTTTTTTATTAACATGAATTTACTCTTTGAGATAATAAATTAAAAGAGAAGGATACTAGTCATTATAATAATAAAAAAATATACATGTCAAATATAAATTTCACTTGGCTTTCAAAAAAAATGTAGTTATACATTTGCACACTTTCGGTAATGGCATAAATGAAGTTTTTATTCTTTATTGTCATTGTTATTATATTCGTTATTAGTATTAGTACCATCATTATCTTTTCTACATATAAAAATATATACTCCGTATAACCGAAGGTTAAGAAAAAAATGATAATAAAAAAAAGTTGATTAGTATGGTGATTATACTTTTGTATAACCGAAGGCAAAGGTTTTATTCTTTATTATCATTAGTACCACTATTATCTTTTCTATAAAAAGAAAGTTTTAACGGAAGGTAGGGGAAAAAATAATTGATAACAAAAATAAAAATTATTAGTAGGATGACTTATCTTTCGGCACTAGGTTTTAAAAAAAACAGTTTGTTTCTTAAAAAAAACAGTTTTGCTTTTAAATAGTAAGGGCCGAAGGTTTTATAATGATTATTCATTATCAATGATTATGATTTATCAAACTTGAGTTTGGTCGAAGGTTAAAAAAAACAGTTTGGCTTTATAAACAAAAATGAAACTTTGTTTATGTCAGAATAAACTTTTGTCGACTCCATTTAATTGTTTTTGTTTCATGTCGTAAGTGACCGTAACTATAAAAAATTTGGTATGTTTGTTTCCTAAAAAATATTGGTATATGATTGTTGAATGAATAGACTTGCAATCTTTTTTCCCGGTTTGAATGTTTAATTGATCAAGTCGCATGATGTTTTAGAAAATGAAAAGAGGACAACATCCTATGATGATTAAGAGATAAATCACAAGATTTATGTAAACGACTTTACTAGATTAATCAAACAATTAGTGGACTAAGTAAAGGTTCAAAGTTTATTTTAACGACGTACCCTGACCAGGTATTGTCACGTTCTAGTATATAAACCAAACTACATTTCAAGGCCGGACCGTGTCCATGTGGATGAGCCTATAAATAATCATACCACAACGTGCGCACGAGAACCCAACGATGACCCCGTGGGTCTAGGGTTCACTTCTGATTACTGGACCCAAGGTCACGGGGAGGTATCCGAAGTAAAACTACGAATCGACTAGTGCGGTGTTCCAGCCTAGTCACGGCTTAGTTCCTAATCTGTGGTTAACCTAGTAGTCAAAAGTTTTCTAAATGTCCCAAGTAACTATTCAAAGTGAAATTATTTCCTCGACGATTTTTAATTATGCGAAAAGTTTTTTTTATTTCTTTTTGAATTAAATTGAAAAACTTAAAAGGCCCAAAATATATTACATGTTATATATGTCTATTGGTTATTTGCCACTCAGCTTATGCTGAGCGTGTAGTGTTTAACTGCACGCAGGTACTAGCAAACAAAACAACTGCTGAGGGGGAAAGCTTGGACGTGGAGGCCGTGCCGAAGGTGTTCTCATTTAATATTTAATAATGAATAAAACAACGAACTTAATTTACATTGTTTTTTTTGGCTTGAACCCAAGGTTGTATTAACTGTGGATGTTTTTACTTTAAGCTTACGCGAAAAATGTTTTTTTTAATTCTCTTAAGTTATCAAAAAGAGAATAAATTTCAGATAAATCATATTTTACAAAGTAACCCGGTTTTACCAGCACTCTGGTCTAGATGACTCGGGTCATCCAGGGTGGGGTGTTACACACTTTGTCCCAATGACATGTTGATGAGTAGGTCTGGGAACAAGTTTCCAGACATCATTTCTGGAAAACTGGTTGAGTTCTTCTTGCATTGCATTGATCCAATCAGAATCAGCTAGAGCTTCTTCAATATTCTTTGGTTCCACTTGTGAGATGAAACAAGCAAGCATAGCTTCTAGATTCTGTTGGGCACTTCTTGTGCGAACACCAGATTGAATATCTCCAATGATCTGTTGAGAAGGATGATCCCTTAACCAACGAAGATTGTGTTGATTGGGATTGACTGGTTGATCTAGTTCAGCTTCTGGTTGAAGAACAGAAGTTGTTGGTGTTTCCGGATGGATTGGCACTGGGTCGCCATTTCCGGAATTGTCGCCGTTTGAGATATCCGGAATATTGGAAGGCTGGCCAAAATTTCCGGAGGGCTCAGCACCGTCTGAATCCGGATTTCTCTGTGAAATCTTCAGAGGCAGACTTCTGAATGGAATGAATTCCGTGGGCTTCATTCTATCTTCTTTATTGACTTCTTCATCCTTGTCTGATAGATCCAGAACCTCATGATCATGCTTTGATGGTTTGTCAACCACATGTTTTTCATCAAAAATGACATGTATTGACTCTTCAGTGATCATGGTTCTTTTGTTGAAGACTCTGAACGCCTTGCTTACCATGGAATATCCTAGGAAGATGGCCTCATCTGATTTCTCATCAAAAGTGTTCAGATGATTCTTCCCGTTGTTTAACACAAAGCATTTGCTCCCAAAAATATGGAAATATGATATATTAGGCTTTCTCCCATTCCACAGCTCATAGGGAGTTTTGTTGTGCCTTTTATAAATCATACTCCTATTTTGAGTGTAGCAGGCTGTGTTAACTGCTTCAGCCCAGAACCTCTATGGTAAAGAAGCTTCTGCTAGCATGGTTCTTACTGCTTCCTTCAGGGTTCTGTTCCTTCTTTCAGCTACACCATTCTGTTGAGGTGTCCTTGCTGCAGATGTGTGATGAAGAATTCCGTTTTCTTCACAGTAGTGAATGATGATTTCATTCAGGAATTCTGTGCCTTTGTCAGATCTGATCTTCTGAATGGTCTGACTTGCTTGGTTTTGAATTAGCTTCATGCAGTTGGTGAGTTTCCCTTGAGTCTCCTTGCCGTTGAGGAAGATTGTCCACGTGTATCTTGAGTAATCATCAACTACCACAAGGACATATTTCTTTCCACTTAGACTTATTGGTGTAACAGGGCCAACTAAGTCCATGTGAATAAGACTTAATATTCTTGTAGTTGAAGGTGCCGATTTTGCCTTGAAGGTGGACTTGACTTGTTTTCCTTTTTGGCAAGCATCACAAATACTTTCCTTTCTGAATGCAGCTTTGGGAAGACCTTCTACTAACCCTTCTTTGGACAATTTGTTGAGAGTTTTGAAGTTGAGATGACTCAACCTCTTATGCCAAAGCCATAGAAGGTTAGTGCCACCTTTGCTGATTAGACATGCTTCCTTGACATCACTCCATATTACTTCATAGATGTTTCTAATTCTCTTCCCAGTGAGAATGACTTCATTTGTGGAAATGTTCTTGAGAGATGCCATGTCCTTGCAGAATTCCAAGGAGTAACCTTTATCACAAAACTGACTTATGCTAAGAAGGTTGTAATTGAGACCTTCAACATAAGATACAGCTTGGATAGTTAGTCCCTTGTACACCAGATTTCCTAGCCCTTTAGTAAGGCCAAAATCATTGCTTCCTCCAAAGGTAACTCTTGGACCATCATAGGGAATTAGATTGCTCAAAAGGCTCATATCACCCGTCATGTGTCTTGAACAGCCACTGTCTAAGTACCAGACACCTGAGTACTTAGTGGCTTCTTGCATTAAGAGGAGGAAGATTTTGGTACCCAATTAAGTTTGGGTCCGGAGTAGTTAATGGTGTGTGTCCCTACATCAAGTTTGAAGTTGCAGGGAATCTTCCTTGCAGCTCTAAACTTGTTGGGATTGTAATCATAGTTGTAGGCATAAAACTTCCTACGTGCAGGAGGTGTTATTTCCTGTTTCCTCCTAGCAAACCTAGGTTGATAAGACCTATGATTTTGTCTAGGTAGTGCATAGTGTGTCCTGTGTCGGTTATAAGCATACTTAGGTGGCACAAATAGCTT